TTCCTGCAATTCAATTCAAGTACATCACAGAACAAATATTTTCACAGGTTATCCCCAGTGTGTAAAATGCTTTCCAATTTTCTTAAACAAGAACAAGTGAAAAGGGCAATTGATGGTACCAATTATGGAAGCAGGTGATGCACATGGAATGCCCACAGTTGGGCAACACCATCTTTGTACAGTTTTCCATGCATATTCCACATTCATCATCTCTATCTTGATCTTTATCCGACAGCTTCCTCCAGCCTTCCATCTTCTTTCGGCTCAAAACATCTGTGCATCGGCTTTTCTTATTATTGTAATTATGATTATTATTATCTTCCAGTTCGTTAAACTCGCCTTCAAGTTGTCTAAGATAAGGGTATATCACAGCTGCAATGATTTCCAGCAGAATGCACTCAGATGTCAAAACAAATTTTTTATTTTTTATTTTCCAAGAAGGGCTATGTATTTAATAAGAAGCTAACTAGAGAATAGCATACCATAAAATTCCCTTAAAGTGACCTTCTGTTCTTTGGAGGACATTGAAGGCATTCCATCCATATAAACCTGCACAATTATGTAAAGCTTAATTTGGAATCTTGGGCAACAAATGGAAACAAAAAATAAGTAAGAAAGCAAAAAAGAAAGAACAGCAGCCCACCTTGTATACAAGTATGTGGAGAAGGCCTAAATAATTGGGGAGTATATCAGTGCAACTATAATCCATCCATTCAATGAAGTACAGGAAAATGGGGGCAAAGGGGCTATAAGATAATCTCATTTGGATGCAGTTCCCACCATAATCTTTGGGAAGAGCAGCTGCCCTGCAAAAACCCATCTCAAAAACCAATGAAAAAAGGATTTTTTTTTTTTTGCCAACAAAGATCAAAATGTATTTGAACCTGAGGAATTAAGCCTATATAACAACAAAAGTTCACACGACAATTATCAGGGAGAAACAAGAGCAGCCTATGACACGAAAGTGGGGATTTTCTTTTTCCAGAGAAGCAAGTAAATTGGCAATTTGGCACAAACAACCAACTTTACCTTCCCTCTTAAATGAGAAATACCATCCAACAACCACAATTGAGTTAACACCACAACAAACTACCCAGAAGAGGAAAACAAACAACTAAAGTAAATGCATATGAATTCCACAGTTTTTGACTGATCAACAATAAAGAACCATACTTGATCATAAATATACAACCAAAAATAAATTTTTTGAAGAAAAAAATGACTCACAAGCTATTGGCATGTTGTATGTCAGCTTCAAGAGCTTTGATAGATTCTCCATAAGAAGATTTGCTGGCCTGTGCTTGCCACATATGTTCTACCTTTTGAGTTAGGGAGGAGAAAAGAGAACGAATAGAAAGACAAAAGCAGAAATAGGGTGAGGGATAAGATGAAAAGAGTGACCTTTTTGGGTGGGAGTTGGTTTGGTTTTGTTTTTGTTGATGAATGTTTGGGGTGGGAGACATTAGATGGTGGGTTTAAAAAAGAAGAGAGAGAGAGAGAGAGAGAGAGAGCCAAGCCTTGCTTAGTGTTCAAACCTTTCACACTTGAAGGAAAGAAAGGGATGCCTTCTCTTTCTCACGTTGCCTTCGTTATTTTATCAACTGCAGTTTGGGCTCCCTTACCCTCCCTTCCCTCCCTCCCTCCAAGACCAACTCTTACTTTTGATTAGGGGTGGGCATCTTAAACCGAATACCGAAACTGTACCCTAACCGCACCGTACCATACCGATTTCATACCGTTTCATTTGGTATGGGAAGATATTCGGTACCGTACTAATAGAGTATGGTATGGTAGAGGTATCAAGATTTTGGTACCGGTCAATACCGTACCGTACCGAATAGTATAACTTTATGTTTTTGTCATTTATGTTTAGATTGTGTTTGTATTTTTGTAAGCCATAAGCATAATTTTAACTATTTTGGTTTGTAAGCCATAAGGCATGACTTTTAACCATTTGGATTTGATGAATCTGTTGATGGATAAATATTGATTTGGTTGATTATATGTTGATGGATATTGAATATGTTGATTAGGATTTGGATATTGAATATGTTGAATATTTGAATTTGTAATTTAGGCGTCACTTATTTTGGTGTTGAATATTGAATTGATTCATTTTTTAGTTGTATCATTTTGATACCGAAATGGTACCGATACCATACCGATACCGATTTGGCACGGTACGGTACGGTACCAATTTTAGCAAACCATAATTCCATACCGATTTAAATTTCCGGTATCGGTAGCGGTACGAGCTCAATACCGTATCATACCGTACCGAGTCCACTCCTACTTTTAATAATAATTGATACTTTGGAAGGAAATTATTAAAAATAAATTTGTTGGGTCCTACCAGTTCTAAATTCTGCGGTTTAGTTCGATTAAAAAAACAAAATAAAAGAATAAAAAAGAAATATATTAGTAAAAGTATTTGGGCCGTTAGTAGCCCAAATGACCGAAACCAGATTGTTTGTTTTGTTTTGCTCATTTGAGCCGTACCACATCACCACTTTCCAACAAATATGACTTCCCATATGGGCTGCTAGAGCATCCGTTCATTCTGGCTGTTGATGTTTCTAAGGTTATCTGTGCAATGTACAACACAACCATAATAAATTGAAAGATATTTTGGTTAGTATCAATGCATCCATGTGTGCACGACTGATCTTAACATTGCTGTGATGAAATTTGTTTTGCTAGAGGAGAAACTTCGACATGACCGATTGATTGCTATGTGTCTGGCGTGTGGAGCCAGGAGACTTCAGGGAACCAACTTTACTATTAATGAAATGAGTAACCACTAGTGAACAAGGTTTGATGTAGTGGACCCTCAGAATGGACTTCAGCCCATCATTTACTTTGAGCTTGGTTGTTTGTTTCTACTCTCTGTCCATCCTTCACAATCAAGATCCGAACACAATAGAGAGATATGGAGCATCTTCTGCTTTGATGGGCCCTGTGAATCAGCAACAGCCGAAGTAGACAATAAATATTTGATTAACACATCCAATCTATCTTTTTTTAATACAACCATAGTCTAAATTACAAAATAGAAATTTCCTCGCACACAAACACAACACAACTACGATGCAATGGAGGATCGAACCTGAGACATATAATCCTATTTGCCCGTACCCATCTACTACTTGAAATGGATGAATTTATTTTGGCGGTTTTTTTTAATAAAACAATTGGCTAAGGTTGTTTTGGGTTATTATTGGTGATGATAGAGATGGGGGGGACCAGCGGCGACTGTGTCCAAGACCAAGATGAAAAAAGGGGTGCGTGAACGCATCATCTTCATACTTTTTCAAAGTAAAAGCTTAAAGACAAGTTGGTCCAAAGGGGAAACGAGAAAAGAGATTTCGTTGTGACCAAAAGCAAAAGCCAATTTTAAAGCAAAGAGTGTCAACTTCAAATTTCAAAGTCCTTGTAATGTTGCTTCCTTTTCTTTCATTAAAGATTAAAGATGCTTTTAGCACCGTCATGGTTTTCAGTCATCTTCATCATTCTTCCCTCCCGTGACACTTCTATTATTTTCATCCAAATCATAGTTTCTAATATCATTTTTTTAATATTTAATTATATGGGAGATTCATTATCATACTCAATATAAGAGTCCAAATTATAAAAATACCATATATGAAATCGACTTTAGAAACACACCCAAAACCCATTTACAACATAACAAATAGGCTTTTAACTTCTTATAAATTACAAAACTACCATCAATTTTTTAAAATAAGTCTAACCTCAACACCTCATTACAAAAAAACTCAAAATATTCAATAGGGTATCAAAGTAATTTATAATTAAAATTAAATTCAATATGGTCAGCTGTCATTTTTTGGGTTTGTTTATAGAAATTAAATTGTGTAGAATTTATCTATATTATTAATGCTAAAAATGAGTATATGACTAAATATCTCTAACTTTTTTCACTTCCTTATTTTACCTTTTTGAATACAAAGAAGAAGAAGAAGAAGAAGAAGAAGGGAATAAGTAATCTATCTAGTCATTTTGTTTGTTTTTTTCTTCTTCATTTTAGACCCGTGTATTTTCTCACTTCTTTGTTTTGTTTGAGGTATTATGTATTTTCTCTTCAATCAATGGACATGAGCCTTTTGTGGTTTGTGAACCTACATAATTAGACTATATATATTCGCACCAAAGTTACATTTTTACTGTTTTATTATGCTTATTATACAATAATACAAGAAAGTTACACAATATCGTTGAATTAATTAATTAATTGCTTGTACTAGGGTAGGTTTTGAGATTTTTAAGGCCCTATGCGAAACTTAAACAGGAGCCCTCAATTTAATATGAAAATATTTGTAAAAATATTTGCCATGACTTAACACCATAAAACAAATTTTTTAATAATTAAAACTCATCATCTATTAGCATGCAATAGCAATCATAAATAACATTCATAAAAGTTTTAATGTTTCAATTTGAGAAAATAGAAGAGGAAGAAGGCATGAACTTTTTTTGTTTCATTTTGAGTGGGTGAAAACATACACTCCAAATTGTTTTGTTTGATTGGAGAAAGCTTGTATATATTGCTTTCCCCTCCTTTGAATGACAATTACTAAAATGTAAAAATACAACTACTGAATGACACAATATAGACTCAAGTCCAACTTGCCTACTGAAAAAGGGATGAGTTCCAACTCGACCGAATACACACTTGTGTTACGTTCCTACACACTCAAATATATGTATAATACCTATAATATTATTATACTTAATATACACGTAAAAAAATTTGGACGTCTTTAAAAATTTAGGGCCCTATACAGTGGAACCACTTGCACACCAGCAGGCACCCCAGATTGTACTGATAACAATAACTCACCTCCAAATCTTCAAGAACCCCTAATCAAGGAGTATCTTCAATTAGGTGCCAAAATATCACAAATAGTTTTTTATTGGTTGAGATGAGATAAACTCTGCCGCCTCTGTCATATCTTTTGCTCAAATCCTCAAATTATGGGCCATCTTGATTTTTTGGTGTTTGAATTATAAAATTTTAAAAAAAAAAAAATCCAAAAGACGGTGCTAAAAGTTGTTTTTACTTTGCACAATGAATTCTGTGGAGTGGATATACAATCACTCTTTACACTCTTATAAACTTATCGTATAATTAGAGATAGAACAAAATAAGAAGAGAATATCTACACGTCGTAGTCAAGTTTTGTGTCACACTTTTTTTCAAAGTAAAAGGAAACGCGAACTTAAAAATGAACCAGAAATCATTATTTTGATTGGGAAAAAGAAGATTCCAAAATGGCACAAGGAAACGAACGTGAATGAACATTCCACAAACTCATCAATCAAAAAAGTGAAAGGTAAGTGGTGTACTACCACAGATTGGACCATGTGGAGCTTAACAAACAGTTTCAACCTCTTCCATCAATAAACCTCAAATTCTGAACACTGGTAGACTTCAAAAGAATTATTTTGTCTTTCTCATGCCATGTTCAATGGGTTCATCCTTCAACTGCCTGGTCATTTTTCTTTACTTTGCATCATCTGTTGTGTGCCAAGTTAAAGGTATGTGATTCTCTGGTTTTTTTTATTTATAGAATTTTGAAGAGCTTTTTAGTTGAATATGCAAGTTGCAATTAAATTTAGTTCTGCTTCAATTGAATGTGCAGAGTTTGTAAGTATAGATTGTGGAGGGACAAGAAATTACACTGACCCAAGTACTGGACTAGCATGGATTTCAGACTTGGGGCTCATGAGCCAGGGAACATCAGTACAAGTAGAAAACCCAAATGGAAACTTGATGCAGTATCAGAGTCGCAGAGATTTTCCCATAGACAGCAAGAAGTATTGCTACACTTTGAGCACAGAAGAGAGGAGGAGGTATCTAATCAGAGCAACATTTCAATATGGCAGCCTGAAAAGTGAAGACACTTACCCCAAGTTTGAGCTTTACTTGGATGCTACTCAGTGGTCTACTGTGACCATATTTAATGCTTCAAGAACATATGTGAATGAAATGATCATCAGGGCATCGTCCGGTTCGGTTGATGTGTGCATATGCTGTGCAACAACTGGGTTTCCATTTATATCCACTCTGGAGCTGAGGCCTTTGAATCTTTCCATGTATGCTACAGATTTTGAGGATCATTTCTTCTTGACAGTGGCAGCTAGAGTGAATTTTGGTGCTCCAAGCATAGATGTCATAAGGTAACACCATAGCTGAGCAATTATTAAGTTTTTGAGTAAGTTTGTTTGAATGCTTGTTATAAATCTAGTCATTCGATACCTTTCAGTGAAAATATATTGTTTTGCTCAGGTACCCAGATGATCCATATGACAGAATTTGGGATTCTGATATTGTGAAAAGGCAAAATTATCTGGTAGGGGTGGCCTCAGGAACACAAAGAATCAATACATCAAGGGATGTAAACACAAATAGTAGAGAATATCCACCTGTTAAAGTAATGCAGACTGCAGTTGTTGGCACAAAAGGACTGTTGACCTACAGACTGAATCTTGATGGTTTCCCAGCCTATGCTCGAGCTTATGCTTACTTTGCAGAAATTGAGGATTTGGGTGCGGATGAAAGTCGAAAATTCAAATTGGAGCAACCTTCATTGGGTGACTCTAACAGTGCAGTGGTAAATATTGCTGAAAATGCGAATGGGGACTACACTCTTTACGAGCCGAGTTACATGAATGTGAGCCTGGAGTTTGTTCTGTCATTTTCCTTTAGGAAGACCCCCGATTCTACTCGAGGGCCGCTTCTAAATGCACTGGAGATAAGTAAATATGTACGAATTGCTACAAAGACTGATAGGCAAGATTGTAAGTCCATGATCTTATTGGTTGTATAACTAAAAGTTTTTGCATCAGATTGACTGTGCTTCACTATGATGAGCTGATTACAATTTTTTTAATTGGTAGTGAATGTTCTCAATGCCCTTCGCTTCATGTCTGCCGAAAGTCTGTCGGTAGATGAAGGGGATCCTTGTGTTCCAACTCACTGGGATTGGGTGAATTGTAGTAGCTCCACAACACCATTGAGAATTACAAAAATGTGAGTTCTTCATATCTTCCTCCTGATAACTTTGCTTCATGTCAATTTCTATTGCATTGCCATTTAATACAAGTGATTCAAAGGTCCAACTATAATAAAAGGCTATAGTCTGACATTTACAATCTATATCCAAGGTTTTTTTTAAAAAAAAATTGATTCTGAAAATCCCACTGAATATACAAGTCCAGAGGAAACTTGAAACATGCATGCAAAACCATCCTACAGGATATATACAAATCCCAAGGAAACTTGTAGATTTCAAGCTAACAGTTCAAAGTCAGATTTATCGGATAGGTAGCTTCCACTCTTCATCAAATGCACCTTTCTTGGTGTGCTGATATACATAAGCTGAATTCATTGACAGAATTGCTTCACGTCATTCAAATATCAGATCTTCATCTCCACCTCTGAATATCATGCGGGAAGAAATCATTCACTAGTTATTGCATTCAGCACAGTTGCTTGCTTATAGGTTCGTTGATAGATGTCTTCTAAAATCCCTTTTTACAAACAGTAAAGGTTATTGCATCAGTGGATTATTGTAACTAAATCAGCAGACACCGTGAAACATTTTGTCATGACTAAGCTAGAAACTTAAATATTGATCACAATTCTTAAAAGATATTCAGCATTTTAAGTTTGTGGAACCCTCTGACCTGTGGTGCAGTGACCTGTCAGGAAAGAATGTGAAGGGTGAGATTCCCTTGGAGCTTAATAACATGCAGGAGTTGATAGAGTTGTAAGTGCTATTATCTTCTAAACAGCTGCGTGCCTTTATATTGCTTCGTCCTTTTTTCGAGTTCCCTTGCAATCGGTTTTTTCTTTGCACTTAGGTGGTTGGATGGTAACTACCTTACTGGACCATTTCCTGACATTAGTAATCTTATCAATTTGAAAATTCTGTAAGCTCCTCAAACCTTGCTTCAAATTTACATATTTGAATTGTAGAGCATCTTTTTGCTTCGATGATGCATTTCTTCTTATCTTTGTTCAACATGGAAGGCATCTAGAGAATAACAAATTGACTGGTCCACTACCTTCTTACCTGGGTAGCTTGCCAAGCTTACAAGAACTGTAAGTAGCAATCGAACTGTGAGTTAGGCTATTTCATACATCTTTAGGATTAACATTGAACATTTTCCAGAAGTTTCCATGATCTACCTTAATCCAACGTAACGCATCTCTTCTCTGACATATGTTTCAAAGATGCAGTAAATGTGAAATTCAAATGTGTCAGGTACATACAGAACAACTCTTTCAGTGGTGAAATTCCTGCAGGACTGTTAACTGGGAAAATCACTTTTAAGTAAGTTTGCTTTTCACTAATGTGTGCAGTGCTATAAACATGGCAATAGACAGCGAACTATAAACAATAATGTACACACTTTCTCTGAATAGAATACAGATCTGTGCTCTGCAAGTAGAACATCAAGTATAAGAGAAAGTTTGAATTCCAAGAGATATGTCTTAGCCCAGAAAACTTATTGACAGATACAAATTATCTTGCAGTTTTGAAGATAATCTCAGGCTGCATAAGGGGGCACAAAAACAGAAACATTTTAAGTTGATAATTGGAATTTCAGTTGGAGTACTTGCGATTGTATCAATTTTGTTAATTGGGAGCCTATTGCTATTACGCAATCTTCAAAGAAGATCATCTCATCAGAGAAGTAATGAAAAAGGTTTGTACACCAAGAATCTGTTGACTGCTGTCACAATTTCTGCAATCCAACATCTTTTCTTGTGCATCAGGTGATTCTATGCGCATCAGCACAAAGCCTTCAACTAGGCATTCAATTTCCCGAATGGACGAAGGCATAGCTTGCTACATTACACTCCCTGATCTGGAAGAAGCCACTAACAACTTTTCGAAAAAAATTGGCAAAGGAAGCTTTGGATCAGTCTATTATGGGAAGATGAAAGATGGAAAAGAGGTAGCAGTTAAAATGATGGCTGATTCATCTACCCATATGAATAAGCAGTTTGTGACTGAGGTAGCACTCTTGTCAAGAATTCATCATAGAAACTTGGTTCCTCTAATTGGATACTGTGAGGAAGAGCATCAATGCATTCTGGTTTACGAGTATATGCACAATGGAACCTTACGGGATCATATACACGGTCTACTCTCTCATCAACACTAGTTAAAAACTGTTCTTTGAATTTCTATTCTTAGTTGTGATGGAAGTGATTTCTTGACGACAGGTTCTACCAGCCAGAAGCACTTGGACTGGCAAACTCGCCTTCGTATTGCAGAAGATGCAGCTAAAGGTTTAAAAAATAGAACTTCTATTTACGCATACTTCTTTTGTTCAAGTTCATGCTAAGGACATAAATTTACATATGTATAGGTCTTGAGTACTTACACACTGGATGCAACCCTAGTATCATCCACCGGGACGTAAAAACAAGCAACATTCTCCTAGACATCAACATGAGAGCGAAGGTTTCAGATTTTGGATTGTCTAGGCAAACCGAAGAAGATTTAACCCACGTATCAAGTGTAGCTCGAGGAACAGTAGGCTACCTTGACCCTGAGTAAGCCACATTACTCATATATGAATAGTTCATTATGCTCACACTTCTCTCCTGTATGCTCTTAATCAACAGTGTCTATATGCTCCAACAGGTATTATGCTAGTCAGCAATTGACTGAGAAAAGTGATGTATACAGTTTTGGTGTTGTTCTATTGGAACTGATTTCAGGAAAAAAGGCTGTGTCAACAGAAGACTTTGGTGATGAGTTGAACATTGTTTACTGGGTCTGCTTCTAATTCACTTAAATGCTAATTAATCTTCTTGCAGTCTAGGATTAGTTGTTAAACACCATACTAATCACTCAAAACTAATGTTTACTTTTTCCAGGCAAGATCATTAATTCGTAAAGGGGATGTGGTAAGCATCATAGATCCTTTTCTACAAGGAAATGTCAAAATTGATTCCATTTGGAGAATTGCTGAAGTTGCAATCCAATGCGTTGAGCAACATGGAGTTTCCAGGCCAAGAATGCAGGAAATAATCTTGGCCATCCAAGATGCTATGAAGATTGAGAAAGGCACAGAAGCCAGCCAAAAAATATCTCCCACTCCCAGCAGCAGTAGCTCAAGAGCACAATCCTCCAGGAAAACTTTGCTAACAAGCTTTCTTGAAATTGAGAGCCCTGACATATCAAACGGTTGCCTTGTCCCATCTGCCAGATGACCTTTCATCTCTTTTCATAATGAAAATCGTAATGCTCTTGCTTTTTTGCACAATGTATATGTATATGCAGGTCGTGTCATATTGCTGTTAGAAAAAGAACTTTTACCAAAAGGTGTTTTAGAATTACATTACACTTGCGAATTCTCTATTGCTTTGCAATCACATACTATAATACTAAAGAGCTATGCTAAAGGCCGTACCGTAGGTTACCGTGCGATGCACATTCGCACATAGAGATAGACTATTGATTGAGGCGTGGGTTATCGCCAAATTGTACCCCTTGGGTTGGCTAGCTATTGATTCAATGTTGTCACCACTTGCCCCAAAGTGTCTTTCTAAAAACGACGTTCACTGAGATTTTCCGTAACTTTTTTTTTTCCTCTTAAACGGAAAAATGTCTTTTTTTTCTTTATGAAAAAGGGTTGACTAAATTAAGCCATGCCATAATAATTGGCGTGCCAAAAAAAAATGTTATATTCATTATGGCATGGAAAAGTATATATTCACCAGCATGGAAGGGAAAAACAATGTAATTAATTAAACAAAGCACCGTGCTTCCTTCCTTACCTGTAAGGATTTTTTTTTCTTCGACAAAAAAAAAAGAAAAAAGGATCCTTCCCTTTTATTGTGACTCAATCACAAAGTGACATGTGTCTCCTCATTTTTAATTATCAAAACTGCTTTTTACTTATGGATTTTAAAGATTTCTATAAAATGGATTTACAACATTTGAAAGGTTTGTAATAATATTAACGTTTCATTTTTACAGTTCTTTTTTTTTCTTATAAAAAATCTTATGTTGACGCTGAAAGAAATCTATGTGTCTTTTCAAATCTTGTAAATCCTATGATAGAAACCTTTAAAATTCATAAGTAAAAAATTTTGATTATAAAAATTTGTAAATATAATCCTATAAGAACATCTCCAAGGGAGATGTCACATGCAAAATGTTAGATTTGAATTTGAAGGCTTATGTGACAATTTGACATTTTGAAAAAAATTTAACTCCACCCGAAATGCCAAATATCATGTTATTTTATTATATTTTTAAAAGCCAATGGGGATGATATGTTGCATAAAAATAAATGATAGTAGGGTGTGATAACCATGGCGATCTGATTGATAAGAAGACGGTGCAACAAAGAAGACTAGAGAGAGTAGGGATGGCAACATGTCGGGTAAGGGCCGGGTATGACAATACCATCCTCGTCCCCGCTCTCTATCGCTGCCTCCGTCCCCAAACCCATCCCCATTTAATATGTTTCTGTTCGCTGCGCAAATCTCAAGGCCTGGTGCTCTGGGCCGAGGGGATGTGCGTTAACACGTGACGTCCTTTTTTTGGATGCGGTGTGGTTGTGCACGGGCATGCCAGCACGGTCTACCGTGCGTCGAGATGGTGATGAAGTTTGGGTAGAAGATGGCTTAAATGATGCGCCTGTTTCGAGTTTGACTCCTGATCAAACGATTGTGGCCGAGAGAGGAACTGATCTCGGCCGTCTGATTCACGGCCTGAGCTACAAGGCCGTTTAATGATGGTGTTGGTGGCGGGTTTTAGGAGGTGCTCCGACGCGTTACTCAGAGAGCGACGGTCGTATGATATATGGGGTGAATGAGATGACAACAGAGATGGTGCTCCGGCGCCTTGAAAATCAAGGGTCGTATGATATATTGATGAATGGATTTTCCTTACAATCTACCACTACTCATAGGAAAGCAAATAAAGGTATTGGAAGTGCATTACAGGAAAATATAATTTGCTCTGTGGGAGGCTTTTGGTTTGATGTTTGAACCCTTTGAATGTAGTCTTGAGCTTAGTATTTATAGGGGGAGTCCTGGAGGGACAATCGAGGCTGAAAAGATCTGCGTGGTGAAGCCTGATCGGGGCAAGTGGGTAGTCAAATCGGCATTTGGGATTGTGAAGTATGGTGGTGTGACCCCCATGGATCCGGGTAAATCTCGGCCACTGCCCTGATCGTGGGTTCTGCCCCTTTGGCCGTGGGAATGCATTTAATGCCCTGGTCTAGTGGTTGGTGATCTGACCTCAAGTTGTAAGCATACTTATGAGGATGTTTGTGCCTAACCACTCTGATCTCTATTACCAAATCCTAACTTCAGTCACTTCCCCTCTCCCCTCGTGCATTAAATGCTTCTTGCGACTACTGGGCTTGCTGCGATAGTCAGAGGCATTACTTCATTAAATGGGGCATGGGACCCTGAGGCCACGTGGCGATTTGACCGCAGTATCTTCGGCCATGTCTTTTACGGCCCTCGGCTTTGGCCTATAATACCGCAAAACTCTTGAATCTTGATTGAGGGTTTTGTTGTATTACATTTGATTTATGAAATTTTGTAGATTTTTTATGGTATCAACATTGATACCAAATCATACCGATCCTGTGTCATCCCATCCCAATTTCCCTATTCGGGATTGACATCGGATGACCTCCATCCCATGTCATCTCATATCGTGTCCAGCCCTACAATGTACAGATACATATGTTTATATGGCTACAGCAAAGTGCTATTTCTAGGAAATAAGTTACTGGTATGCTAGAGAGTGAATATTTTGAAGTCTCAACTTGCCACGTAAGAATTTTAGATGATCTCGTCCCAACGTTTTCGTGAACATGTCGACAAGCTGTAGATGTGAGCGGACATGAGAAGTAGAGATGATTCCTGCTTGTAGCTTATCCCTTACGATGTGGTAGTCTCTCTATATGTTTAGTATGCTCATGGATTCCAAGAAACAAGATAACCACCAAGAAATATACAATAGTCTGTGGTTGACCTTCTCGTTATAGGGCATCCTGCGTGGTTAGAATCATAGTAAGTTGTTAAGGTAAGGTTGTTAGCAGCTGGAAAGAACAAACCTTGACTAGGTGTGCCTTTGATAAACCTCAAGACCCGAAGTGCCGCATCTAAGTTTGGTTTCTTGGGTTGTTGCATAAACTGGCTTAATATCTTAATAAGATACACGATGTCTGGCTGAATAACTGTGAGGTAGATTAATCTCCCTACTAATCATTGATAACGGGTTGGATCATCGAGTGGAACACCATCTGTAGGAGTAAGCTTCAGATGTTGTTCCATGAGAAAAGAGTCTGGCAGTCCACCCAGTAGACCTGCATCTTGTAAAATATCTAAGGCATACTTCCGTTTACACATAAAAATCCCTTATTTTGGTCGAGAGAATTCAATCCCCAAAAAATATTTTAGATCACCAAGGCCTTTGATGTAGAAGTATCGAAGCAAGAATGATTTGAGGCTGTTTATTTCATCCAAATTGTTGCTAGTAACAAGTATGACATCAACATATATAAGAACGGTAGTTAGAGAATTACCATTAACTCGGGTAAACAGTGAATAATCTGCCTTGGATTGTTGGAAACCAATTGCATGATTGGCTGTGGAAAACTTAGAAAACCAGTTGCGGGAGGCTTGTTTTAGACCATATAAGGACTTGTTAAGCCAACATACAAGATTCTCCCCCTGTCGGCGAAGACTAGGAAAAGGGTCCATGTACACGACTTCAGATAAGTCACCATGAAGGAATGCATTATTGACGTCAAGTTGGTGGATGAACCAATTACGAGTAATAGCCACGATGAGAAGGCAACGAAGAGTGGTGAGCTTGGCGGTGGGAGAAAAGGTTTCTTGATAATCGATGCCTTTAATCTAAGCATAGCCTTTGGCAACAAGGCGAGCTTTGTAGCAGTTAATCGTGCCATCAGGTTTGTATTTAATCTTGTAAACCCATTTACAACCAATAGGTTTGTAGCCATAAGGTAAGGGCATGAGAGTCCAAGTATTTTGTTTTTCCGAAGCATCTAGTTCAACTTGCATAATGTCTCATCAGTAAGGATGTTTGATAGCTTAGATATAGGAAGTTGGCTTAGTTGTGCCTGAAATGTTAACTAGAAAATCTCTATGAAAAGGAAAAAAATGAGAAAGAGATTATTAAAAAAAAAGAAAAAAAAAAAAGAGATAAGGGGGGATGAGTACCTGAAGGAGAAGGATGTTAGATGGGATGAAGGGCGGGGGGAGGAAAAAAAAAAGAGATAAGGGGTGATGAGTACCTGAAGGAGAAGGATGTTAGATGGGATGAAGAGCGTGGGGAGACAACAGTATTGGAGAGGTGATAATACTGATGCCAAGATAGAGGATGTTTTGATCTGGCAGACTATCGGGTAGGAACAAGTGCATGCGAAAATGACGGTGTAGGGATATTAGGCATATAAGGTGACTCAAGCCCGATAGAAAAGGCAAGCCCATGAAGGGTGACCAGAGAAGATGGCCCATGTGCGAGTGAGTGAACGCGTTGGGGAGGAAGGTGACGAAAGCGTAAGATCGAATAAGGAGGACTCGTGTGGGTTAGGTGTGTCAGTTCGGGTATGGGGTTCAAATGAAGGCAGTGAATTGGATTGTGGGCTAATGCAAAATGGATATGTGTGAGATGGGTCCACTAGTAAAGGGAGGATTGGACGTATTAAAGGTAGTGGATTTTTTTAGCGTAGGAAAAAATGGTTTCATGAAAGGTGGCATCCTAACTAACAAGAAAGTGATGAGAGTCAAGGTCGTACAACTTGTAACTTTTTTTACCTTTATGGTAACCAAGAAAGACACAACGACGAGCACGAAAATCAAATTTATTATGACGGTGAACAACAATAGCATAGCAAAGGCAACCAAAGAAGATAAGAGAAAGTAGGTGGTTTGTTGTGGAGCATTACGAAAGGGGATTTTTGGTTTAGTAATAGGGTAGGTAATCTATTAATAAGATAGACTGCTGTCAAATTAGATTGGAAGCACAGAACATGTACGACATTGAGAATATGGCGATGCTTGCGTTCAACGACATCATTTTCTTGTGATGTGTACACGCATGAACGTTGAAACTCAACCTCATTATTAAGAAAAAAAATATTTCATGGAAAGAAATTCAAACCCATTATCAGTGCACATGATTTTAATGTTAACAATGAATTGAGTGTGGACAAAAAGAAAGAAGGATTTGAGCAGAGATTGGGTGTCATATTTGCGACTCATGAGAAAAACCCAAGTGCACCTAGTAAAATCATCTACAATAGTAAGAAAATAATGCACACTGTAATGTGGCGAAATCCGGTGGGGTCCCCAAATATCACAA